CCTATCATGAAAGATTTCTCTGTAGCATATGATGCTGTTTGATAACATTTAACCCACAGAATGTCTTTCAAAATTGGAGTCAATCCTCTCAAACCTGCCACTGCTTTATCAGATAAGTTTATGAAATATTCTAAATCCTTTGTTGTCATTTCAATAATGTTCACAGACATCTTCACCAGGAATAGATTCCACGTCAGGGAACCACAGTCTGTACTCCTCCATAAGAAACAACTCCTCCTCATCCTTTCAAGTTTTAGCATGAGATTGCAGCAATTCAATCACATCTTCAGGCTCCAGTTCTAATTCTATTATAGTTCTCTTGCTATTTCTGCCACACGTGCAGTTACTTCTCCACTGAAGTCTTGAATCCCTCAAAGTCATCCAAGAGGCTTGGAATCAACTCTGCTCATGTTGACATTTTGACCTCCTCCCATGAATCATGAATGTTCTTCATGGCATCTAGAATGGTGAATCCTTTTCAGTTGACTTTGCCTGGATCCATCAGAGTTGTCACTATCTATGGTAGTTATAGTCTTATGAATTGTATTTCTTCTTAATCCATGGGCTGCAGAATGGATATTGTGTTAGTAGGCACGAAAACAACATTAATCTCCTTGTAAATCTCCATCAGAGCTCTTTGGACGACCAGGTACATTGTCAATGAGCAGTAATATCTGTAAAGAAATCTTTTTTTGAGCAGTAGGTCTTAATAGAGGGATTAAAATATTCAGCAAATTATACTGTAAAACAGATGTGCTGACCCAGGTTTTGTTGTTCCATTTATATAACACAGGCACAGATTTAGCATAATTCTTAAGGGCTCTAAGATTTTTGGAATGGTAAATGAGGACTGGCTTCAACTAAAAGTCACCAGCTGCATTAGCCCCTAACAAGAGAAGAAACCTGACCTCTGAAGCGTTGAAGCCAGGCATGGACTTCTCTCTAGCTATGAAAATCCTACATGACATCTTCTTCCAATAAAAGGCTGTTTTGTCCATATTGAAAATCTGTTTACTGTAGCTACCTTCATGAATGACGTCAGCTAGTTCTTCTGGATAACTTACAGCTTCTACATCAGTACTTGCTGCTTTACCTTGCACTTTTACATTATGGCTTCTTTCCCTAAACCTCATGAACTAACCTCTGCTAGCTTCAAACTTTTCTTCTGCAGCTTCCTCACCTCTTTTAGCCTTCATAGAGTAGAAGAGAAGTAGGGCCTTGCTCTGGATTAGGCTTTGGCTTAAGGGAATGATGTGGTTATTTGATCTTTTATCCAGCCCACTATAACTTTCTCCATATCAGCAATAAAGTTGTTTTGCTTTCTTATCATTTGTGTGTTCACTGGAGTAGCAGTTTTAATTTTCTTCAAGAACTTTTCCTCTGCATGCACAACTTGTCTAACCCTTTGGTGCTACAGGTCTATCTTGGCTTTCAACATGTCTTCCTCAAGCTTAATCACTCCTACCTTTTGATTTAAAGTGAGAGATGTGCAACTCTTTTTTTTATTTGAACACTTACAAGCCATTGCAGGGCTATTAATTGGCCCAATTTCAATATTGTGGTGTCTCAGAAAATAAGGAAGCCCAAGGGGAAAGGGAGCGAGATGGGGGAACAGAAGGTCAGTGGAACAGTCAGACATACATTTACTGAATAAGTTCGCTGCCTTATATGAATGTGGTTTGTGGCACTCCCAAACAATTATAATAGTAACATCAAAGATGACTCATCACAGATCACCCTAACAGACACAACAAGAATGAAAGTCTGAAATATTGCAAGAATTATCAAAATGTGACAGACACAAAGTGAGTACATGCTGCTGGAAAAATGGCACTGAGAGATGTTTTTTGATGCAGGGTTAACCACGAATCTTTGATTTGTAAAAAACACAGTTATCTATGAAGCACAATAAAGCAAAGTGCAATAAAACAAGGCACGCCCATACTAAAAATTAATTGGAATACTAATATACTTATAAAATTTGTGCCTATATGCATACAATCTGTTACTAGCAGGCAGATTTTCATAATAATGGTAATTGGTTCTATTAATAATCTTCTGTTTTTCTCCTTATTTGTAATTTATTAATAGACAGCTATTT